ACTAAACTTTGAGTTTGAGACTTCATTTGAAAGTTCTGATGCATCTAATAAATATTTCTTTTAATTGGTACAGACATTTTAAATTATAAATTTTTTATTACCCGTAGATTATTTTTTGGTGTGGCTTTTCATTCTGCTCCCGTTTGATAGAACAACTTATGACCTAAAATCCTTTGAAATCACAATCTTCATCATGTGTATGCATTGTAATATACACAGACTAATTGTGAGGTTATAAGGGGTAGTCAAGCAGAAGTTGAAGGCAGTGAGTGGAAAGTACTTTCATTTATTGGACTTAAAGAATTTACATACTCAATATTGAAAAAGAAAAAGGAACAAAAAGCATGATTAAGGTAAATATGAAAGCCCTCAATTGTGGCTTTCATGGCTTTCAAAGCATAATGCCTTGAAATACAGCTTTAAACTTTAATCATCAACCTACAGATGCCATTTCAAATCAGAATAGATAGATATGATTTCCATTTTTGCATAGTACATGTGCATATGGACATGAACCCAACCCAACCTTGGGTTCCATGTAAGTTATTTTGAAATAAATTTTAGATTTAGAAAGCATTAGAATATCAGAGTTGCTAAGCATTATTGTGTGAGACATATGCCTTTTAGATTATTCCATTTTATTAATCCCCCCTTCATCCTAGTATTTCTGTACTATTCAGATGAATTGTCAGAAAAAAATGAATACATTTGTCTGTGAAGAAATCATAGAACCACTGGAGTTCTGATAGACGTCAAGTGGCTTTTGTTTGAGTTTGGCTCTTTAACAATCTACTGCTTTGTGTTGAACAAGAAAGGCCAAAGTGTTACTTTTTCACCTGTCATGGTCATCTGGTATTGCTGCATCATGGTCTGTGGGAATAGGACACTGCACTGGGCACCAGGGAGTGGAAAGGGTGCAGCATCAGATTTCAGTTTTGCTGGTGACTGTCTCCTTGTCCTTGGGCAAGGGATTGGTTTTTTCTGCCACTGACAGTCTCAGATTTCTTGGAGTCCCTCCTCCCATTTAATTGCCATCTCCATGTATTATCGATTTACCACACATCCAACTGATTTTAAAATGCCTGTTGCTTAGACATTGTGCACTCAGGCACACGCACAGATGTTGGTTGTTGTACAGTGTGGGCTGCTCATCCCTGTCTGTTTCCTAAAGCCATGCGAGATTACCTTCTGTAGGGCCTGTGCCAGCATGCTAAATGCGCCACACATGTTATTTTTATTTTTATGAAGTTGCTTTCTTCAAGGAATTTGCATTAAAGAAACAATAACCACAGGTACAATTTTTGTTAATTTTTTGTTTTGTGAGTTTCCTTTTAAATGAAGAACAAATTGTATGGATTATTCAACGAAGAAATGAACATTAATACAGCTTTGCTGGCTTGTCATTTTTCCTTTCTTACCCTCTGCTTAGGTCTCACTAGTTTCTGTTGGAGAAAAATATCTGGCAAAAATTTCTGTTCAAAACAATTATTTTTCTGCTAAAAACTAGAGCCTATTTATTTCAACTCTGCCAAACCTATTAGAACAATGACTTTCTAATTTGAGGCTTTGTTCAGTAACAGAATATAGTAGAGAACATGATTGATATTTAGTAAGGTCACACTACAGTTATTAAAAAATATGTTATTTGTTAGAAGATAAGGGCATTTCCAGTTTTTGAAAAAAAAGAAAAAAATTATTAACTTTTAACTCATCTTAAATAGTAAACCGATATCTATTTATGGGAGAAAAAGTGTATAATAGGTAACTCAAGAGTAAAAGATAAGCCAAAAGTCCCATTTGAAAATTTTTTATGTATATTATAAGCTTATTTTTAGTAATTGTGGCATATTGACATTCCTAATGTACATATTTTACTTGGGTTAGATTTATATTTCTTAAGAATGCAGAGTTAAAGTGCAAGGATTATGTTGACTTTGTATTAAAAATTGCAATAGATGATTGAAAGCTGACTGTTTAAAATAATGGATACTAAAAAAGTGGGGAAAAAAGAAAAAAGAAATAAAATAATGGATAATTCAGAGTGCTGGTTCTTAACCTGATAGGTACTCTATTCGGTATTATGAGAACTTAGTTAAGTCAAGGTCTGTTTTTTAAATAAATCCTTTCCTTATTACCACTTATTGGAATTCCTTGTTACAGCATGGTTGATAGAAATTAATTTTAGTTTGAGAGTTATTCAGGTATAATAATACCTTTTAATCATAATATACCAATTAGATGGCCAAGGAAAACTGAGTAAAGAGTTGTAAACTTTCCGAATTTCAACCTGTTGAATGGCTACATCTGTTATTAACGAAGAGTTGATTATTGTGGAGTTAATCATTTACCCATGTATGGAGAAATCCCTTATTGGAAAAACACAGTGTAGCCTGACTGCAAGAAAAACAGATTAAGGAGAGAAGCTGGATTTGAACAGAGCAGAGTAGATGGTATGAGCCTCTTTAGGATTTGCAGTAAAGGAGGAGTTACTGATATTCTTTGAGCGTTAGCAGCCTTACCCAGATCACCAATGATCCTACATAAATGGTGTTGGATTCTGAGAGTGCCAGCACCTTTTCAGTATCATCATTTGACCTCTTGCCATTGGATCTAGTCTGAGAGATGAGATTTTTTTTTGAATTGCTTTTGTTCATGTCTGTCTGCCTTAAGACAGTTTTTTTTTTTTAAAACATTATTTGCTAATCCTGGCCTGTAGTGACTCCAAAAAAACAGAATAATGTGATTGGCTTGTCTTCTATTTAAGAGACAGTACGCTGAGTTGACGTCAGGCTCTGACACAAAGGCCAAGACTTTAAGGGATCTTTGTACTTTATCTTCATTTTTAGTTATTTGCAAAAATAATTTTTATTTTATTGTATACTAGATTTTTAAGTGGATCTGGTCATAGGCAAGAACTTAAATTTCTTAACTTCATAACCATTCCCACATCTCACTTTAATAATTTGTAAAGAATTTTTAGAATAATCTATGTAAAAGGACAACTTACTTTTTTCTTTCAGATAAGCTAAAGATTATTCATCAAGCACATAAATCAAAGGTACGTTTTTTATATATAGTTTGTGGACCTAGTGAATAATCAGTGTTTGTTGAATTGGTGAATAAGTGAGTGGATCAATGTGCATCTAAAATATTTCTCATTATACTAGCATGTTTTATTGTGTAGGTACCTTATTTCCTGTCTTATTTTTCCATTAAAGCAAAAAAAAGTGGCTCAGCACCTGTAGCTCAACCGGCTAAGGCGCCAGCCATATACACCTAAGGTGGCGGGTTCGAATCCAGCC